GCAATTCAATGCTTTTAGACTAAAACAAAAATTAAAAGGCACTAATAAGTAGTCAAAATCCCCACTTATTATACTCCCAGGTAGAATAGCAGATCTTATGGATCCCCTAGCCTTGATCTTCTCATAGCCACACTACTTGAGGGTAACAACATCCAAAACATCATTGTGATTTCCATACTTAAGCTCAGACAAGGCAATGTTGAGCTTGTCAAATAACTTAGTCAACATGAAACCATAAGGCATAGCATGCTTAGGCTTGGAAGTGTCTGCAGCTCTTGCCATATGCTAAATCATCAGGCTAGGGAGATTTATATGTCTACCAGTGCGAAGAAGTTCCATTACATCCATGTCCAACAGGGTAGCTTCATGCCTTATCTCAGGCCTCTGAGAAATGCAGGAATTGACAAAATGAAATAACAACTTGTGGAAGTGAGTCATATCAGTTCAAACTTTTGAAAGAACTTTCTTGTGATCACAATTCCAGTATCAACATCATTGTCTATGGCTGGCCACTGTTTTTCAAGTAATTGTCAAATCCCAATGAAGAAATATTCAGAAGCATCCCTAGCTCCTCAGCATCAAACTCCATTTCAAAACCCCTTACATTCTTTTTGACTACCTCTCTATCAAATTGGAAGTTTGCATAGAACTCCACCACAGCAGGAACACACACAACGGGGAAAGCTTTGACAAACATGTGCTTCCATCCCTGCAGCTCAAGTTTTCAACCAGTTGAGCCATCCCCTTTTCATTAGTGTTTGCAAGAATCTTCCCATTAAGCACTTTTCTGTTCCTGAACTCTGTGGGTCTATCAACTACAACTGGTACATTCTTTCTCTTCTTTCCTCTACTGGACTTTGCATATGTGGTAGCAATTTTTGTAGCTTTGGCAACCTTTCTCTTTTGTGTAGATGACTTTTCTGGCAAGGCAGACTCATACTCATCTTCTTCATCCAGCTCAACCATGGGTTCCACAATTAAAACTTTTTTCCTTGGCTTCTTGACTCCTTAATGATTTTTTCATCAACAACCTTTCTTTTACTCCTTGTAAAAGGAGTTCTGGTAGGAGGAGCCACTTCTTTCCTTGTTGGGACTGCTGACGTTATTGCTTTCACAGGAGTCTTCCTGGGTTTCTTCCCTACCTCAGACAATGGAAGGAGTTAACAAGGGCTTATGTTCTTGAGTCCTTTTCTCTTCCAAGCTTCTTCTGAAGGGGCTAACTACATGTGACCGAGCGAACCAACTATGTGGCTAAATCAATATGTGTTATAACTATAATCTGAATATAAACATGCAACATGTTGATCTACTAAAGAGTCTGACTACAATATCATAAATGCGGAAAGTACTGAAAAGTCTGCAAGTATAAACGAGTAGACGACAAGGCTAACACATGAAAAGCCTGCTAATATCGGACCGACTGGGCTATAGTCCACGAACCCTCTAAAGAAAACTGAAAAGCTAACTGTTTTACTGGGTCAAGGTCTCTGGTATTCCTTATTAACTGAAATACTATAAAGACTAAAAAAGGGAAGGATAATGCCCCGAATGACTGGGGCTCACCAATAGATGATATGAGATGTCCTAGCAAGCAGAATCGCCACCCTGTAAATCGTTACCTGCATCGCGAGAAGCAGGCCCCGGGCAAAAAGGGACATCGGTACATTTGAATTGCACTGGTATGCAAAATAATTGAAGGAAAGAACTGTAAATCCTAAAACTGAATTGCTAACTGATAAACTAATAACTGAACAAGGAAGTAAGGATATGAATACTCCCACTTTTGAATGATGAATAACCTATTTATCTGATAAACTACGGCCTTAGGCTCAATATATATGTGCACAAGTTACGGCCTCGGGCCCAAGTATACATATACATAACTACGGCCTCAGGCCCAAAGATGCATAAAGCATAAACTACGGCCTCAGGCCCAAATACAGGTGTTCAACATTCAGGGATTTAAAATCAGAAAATGAAAATCATACTACAATACATGATACAAAAATACTAAATAGAACTAGACTAGGACATGTATTCATAATAAATTGATTTATCACAACTGAGTCTTATAAGATATTGAATGAATTATGAACTATGCCATCTAGAGAATAGAAGTTCTACAACCATTCATGGAACTGAGGCATAATTACTTGCTGAGGAATTCGTAATAGACATAAAGAATGAGACGTAAGGAGAATTATAAACATTCCCAAACGTAGAGAGTTAGCCTCACATATCTTAACTTCCTGCTCTTGAGCGTAATACAACAAATGTTAATCCTTTCAACCTTAATCTATAACAATGCAAGTCAAAGGGATTCCATATTAGCAATGATACTCGTGTTTTGGTCACTTAGGCATTTTATCAAATACTTGGTGAGAATAAAGCTTCATAGTCCTTATTAATGGTGTTTCTACACCCAATAATCAATTCTCTTGCTCCTAGATAAATTCTAAAATCTCAAATGGTTATAATCAATATCATTCTTCATCACCCATAAGGTAAACAACACTCTTAACCAATAATCAACAATCAACAACCCAAACCTATAACCGTTCATGCTTTTTTGTCAAACCCATCAACTCATATCTCATGAACTAGAGTATATAATCATTAATCCATTGCTATAATCAATTAGAGGGTGAAGACATTACCTTTTTGAAGTTCAATCCTCTTGATTTCGAGTTCTAGGGTTTCTTCTCTCAACAATGATGTCCCAATCGAATATCTAATGCTATGGAGGGTTTATCCATGTTAATAAGGTGTTGGGAAATTTAAATTAACGTAGAATCACCATTAGAACTTACCTTGGATGGTGGAGGGACCTTGGGAGAGGTTAGGTTCTTGAGAGCTTCCCTTTCTAGAGCAATATTTTGTGTTTTGGGGTATGGAGGATGAAGTAGGGCTTTAAAAATGATCCCTCCCCCCCCCCCCCCGGGTGCACCCCTACGTACCGGAAGGCCTGACCGCGCACCTCACTGTGCAAAATGGCAGTAGCACTACCTCAAGTGCGCGATCGCGCACGTGACCCTCTGGGCACGCACCTGGCCGCACATATTGCGCAGTTCTCTATAAAATACACAAAACCTTTTGCACAGAGATCCGTTCGGGCTCCATAATATATCGATAGAAAGCTATTTAAAAGGCCTACAACTTGCATGTTTTGGGTTTGCCCAAATTCCTTACACATCTTCACTAAATATTGCTGCAAGATAGACCTTTTATAAACTTAGTAGATTTTATCGAATCTTATACACCTCACTCTCCTTATTAATTCTAAAATAACTATTTCCACCCATACTCATATCGATAGAACTTTACATGTCCAAAATATAACATTACTACTCATTTAACACCTTCATACCTAAGCCGAATTTATGGGGTGCTACATTATCTCCCCCTTGGGATCATTCGTCCTCGAATGATTGTCCTGGCTGTAACTACGACTAACTCTAGACCTTAAACGGGTCTAATGGGAACATGTGAATACTGAATTGTCATGAACACGTGTATACTAAACTGAACAAATACATGATTACTGAATAGTGAGCTGACTAAATACAGAAAGACATGGAGATTATAATATAAGGTCTAAATGGAAAGGTTAATTACCTTCCATATTTTCCGTTTGCTCTTCAAAGAGATGGCGATATCTGTACTTCATGTCCCCTTCGGCTTCTCATATAGCCTCTTCAATCTTTTGTTTCCTCCAAAGCACTTTCACCGAAGCAATTTCCTTAGTTCTAAGTTTGCGGATTTGATGATCAAGAATAGCCACTGTAATTTCTTCGTAAGTCACGCTATCTTTAACCCCTATAATCTTCGTAGGAACTACAAGTGACGGGTCTCCTATGAATTTCTTCAACATTGACACATGAAACACTGGTGTACAACAGCTAATTCTTGTGGCAATTCTAACTCATAAGCCACCTGCCCGATCCTTCGCAGGATTCTATATGGCCCAATATAGCGGGGACTAAGCTTCCCTTTCTTCCCAAATCTCGTAACACCTTTCATAGGCAAAACTTTTAGAGAAACCCAATCATCAACTTGGAACTCTAAGTCTCTACGCCGCATGTCTGAATAGGACTTTTTGCCGACTCTGAGCCGTCTTCAAATGCTCTTGTATCACGTTGACTTTCTCCATAGCATGATAGACCAAATTGGGTCCTAACAACTCTTCTTCGCCAACTTCGAACCAACCAATCGGTGATCTACACCTTCACCCATACAGAGCTTCATACGGTGCCATCTTGATACTAGAGTGATAGCTGTTATTATAAGCAAACTCAATGAGGGGTAGATGATCATCCCAATTACCTTTAAAATTGATAACACCTGACCTCAACATATCCTCAAGAGTCTGAATGGTGCGCTCTGCCTGGCCATCTGTCTGAGGATGAAAAGCTGTGCTGAGGTTCACTCTTGTGCCCAATCCTTTCTGAAAGGATTTCCAAAAGTTCGTTGTGAACTGAGCACCACGATCTGAGATGATGGACAAATGAGCCCCATGCAATCGAACAATTTCCTCGATATACAACTTGGCATAATCCTCTGCTGAATCTGTAGTCTTCACTGGCAAGAAGTGAGCTGACTTGGTAAGTCGGTCTACAATCACCCAAATTGAATCATGCTTCCGAAACGAGCGAGATAGACCTGTTATGAAGTCCATGTTTATCATCTCCCATTTCCAAACGGGAATTTCTATACTCTGTGCTAAACCATCGGGCCTCTGGTGTTCGACTTTTACCTGCTGACAATTTGGACACTTAGCCACAAAATCTGCTATGTTCCTTTTCATATCGTTCCACCAATAAATCTCCTTAAGATCATGATACATCTTTATAGAACCTGGGTGAATAGAATACCTGGAATTGTGGGCTTCAGACATAATCTGCTCTCTGAGCCCATCTACGCCTGGAAAGCATAATCTACCTCTGTACCTCAAGGCTCTCTGAGCCCATCTACGCCTGGAAAGCATAATCTACCTCTGTACCTCAAGGCTCTCTGAGCCCATCTATGCCTGGAAAGCATAATCTACCTCTGTACCTCAAATTACCATATTCTCCCCCTTGTTCAAAAGTTGTAGTCTTGTGTTTGTGAATTCCCTCATTCAGCTGCAATAAGTAGGGATCACTGAAATGTTTTTCCTTCACTTCGGCTACTAAGGAGGATTCAGCCCTGTTCTGAAGAACAATGCCACCATCTTCGGAGTCCAAAAGTCGAACTCCTAGACTTGCTAAGCGGTGGACTTTCTCATCATAGTTCTCTTGTCTACCTCAACATGAGCTAGGCTTCCCATAGAACGCCGACTGAGAGCAACAACTAAAATATTTGCTTTCCCGGGATGATAGAGGATATCAAAATCATAATCTTTAAACAATTCAAGCCACCTTCTCTAACGTAGATTCAATTCTCTTTGCTTGATGATGTACTGGAGACTCTTGTGATCTGTAAAAATGTCAACATGCACCCCATACAAATAATGGCGCCAGATCTTAAGCGCAAATACCACAGCTGCTAACTCAAGATCATGAGTCGGATAATTCTTCTCGTGAGCCTTGAGTTATCTCGATGCGTAGGCTATGACTTTACCATGCTGCATTAATACACACCCAAGACCAACCCCTGAAGCATCACAACAAACAACGAACCCTTCGGTTCCTTCCGGTAGTGTCAAGACTGGAGTTGAAGTCAACCTCTTCTTTAACTCCTCAAAATATTTCTCGCAAGCGTCCGACCATTGAAACTTGACCTTCTTCTAAGTTAATCTAGTCAAAGGGGACAAGATAGAGGAAAAGCCCTCTATGAAATGCTTGTAATCGCCTGCTAGACCCAAGAAATTCTTATATCAGATACTGAGGTGGGTCTAGGCCAATTCTTCACTACCTCTATTTTCTGAAAGTCCACCTTCACGCCTTCCCCTAAGATGACACGGCCCAAAAACGCTAGTGATTTCAACCAGAATTCACACTTAGAAAATTTTGCATATAGCTTGTGATCCTGCAGTGTTTGCAACAAAATTCTGAGATGTTCCGCATGGTCAGTCTCACTACGGGAATAAATCAAGATGTCATCAATAAACACAATAACAAACAAATCAAGATAAGTCTTGAAGACCCTATTCATAAGGTCCATGAAAACTGTTGGTGCATTCGTTAAACCAACTGACATTACCAAAAATTCAAAATGCACATTTCGAGTCCTGAAAGCTGTTTTTGGAATATCAACTTCCTTAACCTTCAATTGATGGTATCCCAATCTGAGGTCAATCTTGGAATAACACTGGGTACCCTGAATTTGATCAAATAAATCATCTATTATGGGAAGAGGGTAATTGTTCTTGATGGTGACTTTATTCAACTGACGATAGTCAATGAACATGCGCAAAGACCCATCGTTCTTTCGGACAAACAAAATTGGTGTTCCCCAAGGTGAGACACTTGGCCTTATAAATCCCTTATCTAGAAGATCTTTCGACTGGACTTTTAGCTCTTTTAACTCTGCTGGGGCCATTCTATAAGGAAGAATAGATATCGGCTTAGTGTCTGGGAGTAGATCAATTCCAAAGTCAATCTCTCTATCGGGAGGGACTCCAGGAAGATCTTCGGGAAACACTTCTGGGAATTCATTTACAATTGGTACTGACTGGAGAGTGGAAATCTGAGCATCTTCATCCTGAACTCAAACCAGGTGATAAATATACCCTTTATAGATCATCTTTCTAGCTTTAAGATAGGAAATAAACATACCCCTAGGTGCTAATGCATCACCCTTCTATTCTAAGACTGGTTCACCGAGAAATTTGAAACTTACTATTTTGGTTCTACAACCCACTGTGGCATACCAAGACTCTAACCAATCCATGCCCATGATTACATCGAAGTCTATGATCTCCAATTCCACTAAGCCTGCTACAGTAAGGCGATGATACACTTTGACTGGACATCCCCTATAGATATGTTTTGCTATAACTGATTCTCTAACTGGAGTGGACAGTTCAAAGGGTTCGCACAACTTTTCTGGTTCTATCCCAAATTTCTTAGCAATATATGGGGTTACATAAGATAGGATGGATCCCGGATCCATAAGAGTGTAAACATCAAAAGTGAATATTGCTAGCATACCTGTGACAACATCTCCATGGGCCTTTGTATCCTGACGGCCTGACAGCACATACAAACGGTTTCGACCACCGCCTACATTACCAGACTTTGCTGCACCACGCCCTTGTTGGGCCTGGGAGTTCTGAGGGGCTGCTGAGTTATTAGAATGATCTACATTGCCTCCATTATTATTCCCTGTTGATGGACAATCCCTCAAGAAGTGGCCCTGCTGACCACACCCAAAGCAACTATTTGTGCCCAAACGACACACCCCTGGATATTTCTTACCACACGTGTTGCAAGTAGGGTACTCAAGGCCTCTGTAGCTCACACTAGTCTGTAACTGTGAGCCTGCTGCTCTGAAATTTTGGTTTTTCTTTTAAACTTGGACCTCTGAACTGGTGCACTAGCTGAAGATGGAGCATGTCCTGATTTTGATTTCCTGAAGAACTAGCGATTGCCACCTGTTTGAGATCCCCCATGGCTGAAATTTCTTGCAGACTTAGCTCTCTTGCTGAATTCTCTGTCCTTCTCTATCTATAGTCTCTCTTCTTCCTTCAACCTCTCTTCATTCCCTTGAACAAAGGCAACCATCTTAGTAATAGTCATGTCATTGTTCTGAGCAGCTATATTAGCAACAACAAACAATTCATCTGAAAGCCCCAACACAAACCGACTAACTCTGGCCCTCATATCACGTACCATTTCCGGAGCATACTTGGCTAGAGAGACGAACTTGAGGTAGTACTCATTCACACTCATCTCATTCTATTTGAGTCTCTCAAACTCTAAAGCCTTAGCTTCCAAGACTTCAATGGGTATAAAATGCCCAAGGAACGTATCTGCAAACTCCTTCCAAGTCGCAGGAGCCGCATCTTCCCCTTGAGATTCTTCCCATGTTTCATACCAAGTGTTAGAAACATCCTTCAGCTGTTACGCAGCAAGCTCTGCTGCTTCAGTGTCTGTAGCATGCATCACTCGAAATATCTTTTGAACCTCATCAATGAAGTTTTGTGGATCCTCATCCTTGCTGGACCCTGTGAAAACTTGAGATTTCATGTTGAGGAATTCCCTAGACCTAGAACTACCCGTCTCATGAACAACACTTGTTCCCTGCCTTTGAGCCTGAGTAGCAACAATATGGGCAAGCAACTGGATAGCTCCCCTGACATCCATGTCGGAAGCATTGGGCACTAAGCCCGATGCAACTCCTTGGGCCGGAGTGTCCTCCTCCTGAGCAGCGTTAGTCGTAGCCCCCTAGCTAGTAACTAAGGCCCTCTTGGTGTACTTTCTTTTTGCAAGCATTTTTCTGAAAAATGCAATTCGCATGAGTTAGAAGGATTCCTGAAAGCATAACTCTAACTACACGATCTACAGTATGAAAGAGATGGAACAATCCTAGATATCTTGGTGGTCGACTGTTTACCCGTGTGGCACGCACGCACACATAAAAGTGATCCCACTAGACACGACTTTATAGACTCCCTAGAACTCCTGAACCTAGGCTCTAATACCAAGCTTTGTCACCCTCCGAACCATAGCCTGGGCGTAACACAGCACTCGGTGCCTAACTATATGTGACAATGTGAACCAACTGGGTGGCTAGATCAACATATGTTATAACTATAATCTGAATATAAACATACAACATGTTGATCTACTAAAGAGTCTGACTGCAATATCATAAATACGGAAAGTACTGAAAATTCAGCAAGTATAAACGAGTAGCCAACAAGGCTAAAACATGAAAAGCCTGCTAATATCGGACTGACTGGGCTAAAGTCTACGAAGCCTCTAAAGAAAACTGAAATGCTAACTGTTTACCGGGTCAAGGTCTCCGGTATACCTTATTAACTAAAATACTATAAAGACTGAAAAAGGAAGGGATAATGCCCCGAAAGCCTGGGGCTCACCAATAGATGATATGAGATGTCCTAGCAAGAAGAATCGTCAACCTATAAATCATTACCTACATCGCGAGATGTAGGCCCTAGGAAAAAAGGGACATCAGCACATTTGAATTGCACTGGTATGTAAAACAACTGAAGGAAAGAACTGTAAATACTGAAACTGAAACTGAACTGCTAACTGATAAACTGATAACTGAACAAGGAATTAAGGATATAAATACTCCCTCTTCTGAATGATGAACAACTTGTTTATCTGATAAACTACGGCCTCAGGCCCAATATATATGTGCACAAGCTACGACCTCGGACCCAAGTGTACGCATACATAACTACGGCCTCAGGTCCAAAGATGCATAAAGCATAAACTACGGCCTCATGCCCAAATACAGGTGTTCAACATTCAGGGATTTAAAATCAGGAAATGAGAATCATACTACAATACATGATACTAAAAATCTGAATGGAACTAGACTGGGACATGTATTCATAATAAATTGATTTATCATAACTGAGTCTTATAAGATGTTGAATGAATTATGAACTATGCCATCTAGAGAATAGAAGTTCTACAACCATTCATGGAACTGAGGCATAATTACTTGCTGAGGAATTCGTAATAGTCATAAAGAATGAGACGTAGGGAGAATTATAAACATTCCCAAACGTAGAGAGTTAGCCCCACATACCTTAACTTCCTGCTCTTGAGCGTAATACAACATTTGTCAATCCTTTCAACCTTAATCTATAACAATGCAAGTCAAAGGGATTCCATATTAGCAATGATACTCGTGTTTTGGTCACTTAGGCATTTTATCAAATACTTGGTGAGAATAAAGCTTCATAGTCCTTATTAATGGTGTTTCTACACCCAATAACTAATTCTCTTGCTCCTAGATATATTCTAAAATCTCAAATAGTTATAATCAATATCATTCTTCATCACCCATAAGTTAAACAATACCCTTTTACCAATAATCAACAATCAACAACCCAAACCCATAATCGTTCATACTTTTCTATCAAACCTATCAACTCATATCTCATGAACTAGAGTCTATAATCATTAATCCAATGCTATAATCAATTAGAAGGCGAAGACATTACCTTTTTGAATTTCAATCCTCTTGATTTAAAGTTCTAGGGTTTCTTCTCTCAACAATGATGTCCCAATTAAATATCTAATGATATGGAGGTTTTACCCATGTTAATAAGGTGTTGGGAAATTATAATTAACTTATAATCACCATTAGAACTTATCTTGGATGGTCGAGGGACCTTGGGAGTTTTGGGTTGGGGGACGAAGTAGGGCTTTAAAAATGACCCCCAGGGTGAGCCCCCACGCACCTGAAGGCCTGACTACGCAAAATGGTAGTAGCACTGCCTCAAGTGCGCGGCCGCGCATGTGACCCTCTGGGCGCGCACCTGGCCATGCATATTGCACACTGCTCTGTAAAACACACATAACCTTTTGCATAGAGATACATTTAGTCTGCACAATATATCATTGGAAAGCTATTTCAAAGGCCTACAACTTTCGTGTTTTGGGTGTTCCCAAATTCCTTACATATCTTCACTAAATCCTGCTGCAAGTCAGACCTTTCGTAAACTTAGTAGATTTTATCGAATCTTATACACCTCACTCTCCTTCTTGATTCCAAAATAACTATTTCCACCCATATTCATATCGATAGAACTTCACATGTCCAAAATATAACATTACTACTCATTTAACACCTTCATACCTAAGCCGAATTTACAGGGTGTTACACTTTATTTCCTTCCCCCTCAACCACATGCACCACAATAGTGGTATCTACCTCTTTCTCCCGATTGTTTGCACCTTTTTATATAGTGAATTCCTCCACTTGTGGCTTCTCACTTGTGGGTGGGATGTCTAAGGGTGCATCATCTATAGAGGATACCAAAACATCTAATTTTGAATGAAGGATTTGTACCTTACTAGCAGTCGCAGGCACTGATTCCCCTTGAACTACAGGTTTCTTGACCACTATGTCTACTTGAGCATCAGGCACTACATTAACATTCTTGACAGATTTTCTTGGAGTAGCCTTGACCTTAGTTAACTTAGAGGTAATTTTCGCACAAGGCACAAATGCATTGGTGGTTAGTTTTAGAAGTGAGGGTGCAGTGGAGGTGGGGATGGTGAGAGCAGTAGGACCATGGGATAATGATGTAGGTACAATGGAGAATATCTATGGAGAAGAAGAAAGTGTTGGTGTATGTTCACTTGATGGCTTGACACTTTTCTTTGATTTGGGCTTCACGTTCTTAGATGATGATTTGGCTTTAGAAGGGGTTTGGCTGGATTTTGGCATGGTGATTAGAGAAGAGACTCGATGAAGGAAAAAAAGAGAATTGGTTCTTGATATTTTATTCTTGATTCTTTCTTAGGGTTTGAGAGAAACAGTGAGGTCTGAGAAGTTGATCATAAGGGCCTTTTAAAGACGTTACTCCTGGTTTGACTAGAAGAGAGAAGGTGACTGGATTTGAGTTCTAACGGGACTCTTATAACAGTTACTTTGATTGTTAGGATTTCAGGAGTAGCTAAACTCTAATTGATCTATGATTCCCCCTTACTCTTTGACTTGAAGACAACTAAAAGTGATGCTAACGGGATTAGAAGTCTGAGCATAGCAATAATTTAGGATTTTAAGTCCCAGTGAATTAAGACAAGATGTCACGTACCTGAGTCAAAGAACTAACTCCTTAGTAGCTCCTTACTTGTTTCTGCAATAAAGCTTCAACACTTCACATTAGTATCATGCAACATAGTTATCATCCAGGTTTTCTAAGCAGGTGTGTGCGCTTAACACAAGCACAAGTCTGAATCAAACACATTGTCCTTAACTATCTATATCTAATTATACCTTTTCTAGCCAATCATTGGGGTTAAACTAGTTGGAACAATTGATTAGGCATAGTTCTAGTCTATTCCTTTCAAAATGATCCCTACTCAGAGCTTTAGTAAAAGTATCAGCAATTTGGTCTTCAGTTTTACGAAAGTTAACAGAGATATTCTCTTTTTCAACATTGTCTTTGAGAAAGTGGTATCTAATGTCAATGTACTTGGTCTCTTGTGCTGACATGGATTTTTAGCAATATTTATGGCACTGGTGTTATCATAAAAATAGGAACACAATCAACAAAAATACCATAGTCCCTTATCTGTTGTCTTATCCATAGCAACTGAGCACAGCAGGATGCTGCTGCCACATATTCAGTCTCAGCTGTAGATAAGGCCACTGAGTTTTGTTTCTTTTTTCCCCAAGACACTAGACAAGAACATAGAAAATGAGATGTTCCTGAAGTGTTTTTCCTGTCAACATGAAAACTTGCATAGTGAGCATCAACATAATCAACTAGATCAAAGCTATGCCCTCTGGATACCATAGTCATAGGTTAGGAGTCCCCTTGAGATATCTTAGTATCCTCTTTACAGCCTTCAAGTGAGATTCCTTAGGATTTGTCTGAAATCTTGCACACAGTCCCATATTGAATACAATATCATGCCTGCTTGTTGTGCGATACAATAATGACCCAATCATTCCTCTATATATTTTCTGTTCAACACTTTTTCCTTCTTCATCAAGGTCCAATTTTGTTGCAGTGGCAATGAGAGTGTCAATGGACTTAGAGTAGTCCATGTTGAACTTCTTTAGTAGTTTCTTGATGTATTTCTGCTGATGTATCATGGTTCCAGTAGGTGTTTTCTTGAGTTGCAGCCCAGGAAGAAGTTCAATTCACCCATCATGCTCATTTCAAACTCATTTCCCATCATTTCAGCAAATTCCTTGCACATTACTTCATTAGTAGCCCCAAAGGTAATGTCAT